CTCTTCTTACCACTCTACTCCAGGTACATGCTCTTTCTCTCTCCACTTGTTAGTTATTCATCATATTAAATTAAAGTAATCCATCTTTATTTCATGTGGGTTTTAATTACCTGTATCAAATCATTAATCAATCAAATTTCCGGAAAAAGAAAGCTAATTTAGAAATCATATGCAGGTATAATTTAATGGGTGTGATTGATTTTTGCAACACTTCTGTTTTCCTAATTAAATCAAGAAGTTTTGGTCAACCCAGTTGTGGATTTGAGGTGAATCATCAGAGAAGGATAATTTCTATGGCATCTACATTACCTGTTAAAGAAGTGAGTGAAAATGGCCAACCAAAGGTTACTGGGGATTCTTTTATCAGACCCCATCTCAGGAAATTATCTCCTTACCAACCCATTTTACCTTTTGAGGTAATAAAGTTCACTTATTTTTCTGTTTTTGATAGTTTCTTGAATTTGATGATATGTGATTTTCAATTGATTAGTAGATGATTATTAAATTAGAGCTGATTATGTTTGATTTTATGTATATATGTTGAGTTATATTGTAATTTGATTGGTATTGAGTAATGCAGTTTTCTTATGATTAGTATATTGTGCTAAGTTCCTGTCTTTGTTTCTAATGAGATTATTAATAATGTAGCTACATTTTTAATTAGGTTAATTGTGTAGTGACTTGATTGCATTGGTGATAGGTTTTATCTACACGGCTTGGTAGGAAGCCTGAGGATATTATTAAATTGGATGCAAATGAGAACCCATACGGTCCACCTCCGGAGGCAAGTTATCCTAAAATGAGTTTGACCTTTGCTGGTTGTCTGAATTGGGGTCTTTAAATTATACTTACCTGTTTATAGAAAAATTCCATTCCCTTGACAAGTTGAGATTGCTCTTTAGGTGTCTGAAGCTCTTGGGAACATGAAATTCCCGTACATATATCCTGATCCAGAAAGTCGAAGGCTGCGTGCTGCCCTTGCAGAAGACTCGGGCCTTGAATCTGAATACATTCTTGTAGGATGTGGTGCCGATGAGCTCATTGACCTAATCATGCGGTTAGAGATCATAACTCTGCCCCCTGCTTCTGATGCTATAGTTTCTGTGTATCTTATCATTTGTTCTGAATGATCATGTAGCTCAGTTGTGTGCTGGAACCTGGTGACAAAATTGTTGACTGTCCACCGACATTTACAATGTATGAATTTGATGCAAATGTGAATGGAGCTGTTGTCCTAAAGGGTAGGTGGAACGATCTTGCTCCATGATGCTGCACTTAAAGCTTTCTGCTCTTAACATCAACTATAAGTCCAATATAGAATTCTTTTTTTAGCCAGCAATTGTGTTCTTAGGCTTATCTTTTCTTTCTACTGATTTTGTTAGGGAGAAAGGAAGAGGGGGGGGGGGGGGGGGTGTTCCTGTAATTCAATATATGTTGATAGGCTTCTGAGTTTTACTTTTCCTCTACAGTTCCAAGGCATGCTGATTTTAGCTTGAATGTTGAAGAGATTGCGCGTACTGTTGAACTTGAGAAACCAAAATGCATATTTCTTACTTCCCCAAACAATCCAGATGGGAGGTAAGTGACAAGTAGGATATAAAATTATTTTGTTAATTTATTCCATTCAGTACAATTCTTTGAGCTCTTCTTTTGGACTTTTGACAATCCTAATTTCTACAGGTGCAAACTTTAGGTTCGTATTTTCTGTTTTATCAGTGTATTTTGGGGAGAATGCTTTTGGATAAGCTTTAGGGTGACAGGACACTAATATTTTGGTTGGGTGGAAGTGGACCTACCAAAATTCTAAACTTTAAAGTATTTGAATATAAAAAGCAAGAAATATGTGCTGTTAATTGATAAAACTCTGGCATGTTTTTGGAATTTTTTTTGTGGTCTAGTTTATGTCTAGTGTTACCATCTAGTATGGATTTAGAATTGTTGTTGATAACTGGTTCTCGATCAACATTGAATAGCTGCACTGGATGGGTATTATATTTAGTATATTACTGGATAACATATTATATTCTCAATTTATTAAGAAATGTAGGAAATAATTACTTTCTTAGTCAGCTAGATATGCTAAAGAGATAACTTGGTGAACTGATGTGCTTTGTCATATTGAAAGAGAGTTCATTGCATATTTTTTTAGTTTGTGGAGTGAGCTTGATGTGTAACGAGTTCCAAATCTTTGCTGATAAGTGGTCTATCGTTCTTGTTTGTACAACATGTTTTGTGTGCTATTACATGAATGCTCTTTCCGCTTTAAAAGTCTAACTTTTATCTTCATAACTTGACTTCAAGTGCAATTTACTGACTATATGCTTTTTTATACGCATTTCATGCAGTATAATCAATGATGAAGATCTGTTGAAGATCCTCAATCTCCCTGTACTGGTCATACTGGATGAAGCATATGTTGAGTTTGCAGGACTTGAATCTCGTATGAAATGGGTGAAACAATATGAGAATTTAATTGTTCTTCGGACCTTCAGCAAAAGGGCTGGTATGTTGTTGGTTAATGTTTTCTTTTTTTAAATTCTTGCAGAAGTTCACTCTCTTACAACACTCAAATTTTATCTTTACACCCCTTTTTTGGTTTTCACTTTGAATATTTTTCCCACTGTTTCACTCACTTTTATTTAAACAGTATTCTTGCTATGTTCCATTTTTAACGGACGGTTCCTTATGATGATTTATGTTAGCCAACCCCAAATCAATTTCGGACTAAGGCTTTGTTGTTGTGTTATTCTTGCAGAAGTTGTTGGAAACAAAAATAATGAAGCCCAATTTCATTAGTTTCCATTTTTAAAATGAACCTATAGTGTCTTATAAGTTATTCGATTCATCAACAGGTTTAGCTGGCCTTAGAGTGGGATATGGAGCATTCCCTTCTAGTATTATCGAGTATCTTTGGAGAGCAAAACAACCTTATAATGTATCTGTAGCTGCTGAGATAGCTGCTTGCGCTGCATTGCAAAATCCTACTTATCTAGAAGTAAATTATGTTGCTCTTTCTATTGTTTTCCTCAACTTTATCTCTATTTTATTAGTAGATCTCTTTGTGTTCCAGTCATTTTTGCTAATATTTAGTCTTCTGTCAGAATGTCAAAGAGGCTTTGGTCCAAGAACGCGAGAGGCTTTATAAGCTTTTGGAGGAAGTCCCGTTTCTTAGACCCTTCCCAAGCCACTCCAACTTTATTCTTTGTGAAGTTACCTCTGGAATGGATGCCAAGAAGCTCAAGGTACTATCACATTGCCCTTTTTTCTTATTTTTGGATACAGATGTAAAATGTGTTTGTAGCGTAATACTCACCAATCACCATATCTTGCTTTGTGATAGTAGTTACTCCGTCCGTTTCAAAAAATAGCCCACATTTCTATTCAATAATTGGCCACAATCTATATATATTTAACTTGGGCCTTATTACCCTCAATTCCATTAACAAAGCAACACATTAAAATTTAGAAAGCCTGGAGTTGCAAAAACATACACAGAATAATAGGATTCATAGTTGTGGTATTTAAATTCAATTCTTTGTAAATGACCTTCTATCCAATGATGCCTATAACTTAGACTATTTATCTGATCCTGAAACACATTAAAATTTAGAAAGCCTGGAGTTGCAAAAACATACACAGAATAATAGGATTCATAGTTGTGGTATTTAAATTCAATTCTTTGTAAATGACCTTCTATCCAATGATGCCTATAACTTAGACTATTTATCTGATCCTGAACGAATGTGTCTTGTCTTGTACCTTACACAGGAGGACCTTGCTAAGATGGGTGTTATGATCCGTCACTACAATAACAAGGAAATGCGGGGTTATGTTCGCGTATCTGTTGGAAAGCCTGAGCACACTGAGGCCTTAATGAAGTGTCTTAAACAATTCTTCTGATGTATAACCATCTTAGATTGGCAGTGGGGTGCAACATTCTTACCAACCTGATTTTGTTATTCCTCTGTAACAATTCTGATTCTTGTTTCAGTCAGAAACTGTTGTGATTATGAATTTTTTACTCTCGAAAGACATCTCAAATATTTAAATTGATCTCGTCTATCCTGCTGGTGTTCTTGTTCTTTTTTCTGTCAAATACGATATTTTTAAAATGAAAATATGCTTAACATACACTCTGAGGTGAACATATTTTTGGAAGGAAGTGTAACTACTCATGCTTTTAAGTAATATGCAAAAAGTTAAAGAATAGAGTTGTCCCTTGTCAACCCTTCGGTGTTCAAATCTGGTTCTGGTGCCACAATTTATGACTTAAGACCTCCTAAATATAGGATTGTCCTCGAAAGATAAGGTAATCCTAGGATTTACATATCGATGTCATTTTACAGTCGCCCTAACTAGATATGGGGTATCGAAGATTAACCAATACTCCCTCCATCCTCCTCCATTAGAAAACCACCAGAAAAACTAATCCTTCTGTATTGCCTAATAACCTATTTAGCATCCTTGTTAACATCCCCTCTAAACAAAGAAAAAATTAACAGCTCCTCTAAACAAAGAAAGCATAGGATATTTATTTAACTTGTAAGTAACATTATATTAAACAAGTTGTTACCCAAACATATTTGCTGGATTAATGCAACCTTTACCACATATACAAATAATATGAATAAATGTCCTTTTCCTTTGTGAATGCTCACTTTTCTGCTGTTTATGGCAAAAGGGTATTGCGTGACTTAACCTCTTCACCCTTTATCCCCATACTCTTAATTATTTAACCTTTAAGTTCTTGCTTTTCACGTATTCTTTTCCACTTATTAGAGAAAAGAGAGTATTTTACACTACAAAGCTACAATATTACCAGTCCTATTCAGTTTCTGTTAGCTTCTGCACCTTCAAGTCTGAGGGTATGCTAATATAATCTATTTGTTCGTTTCGACGTCTGAATATATGAGTCTACAAACTAAGTCTAAGCCTTTTTGCTACAACACCTAGAATCCTCTGTTTTCGTTACCCGACATTGCATAGGATATATTGCAAACATGTTTCTAACATGTTTCATGTCCTTTAAGCCGTCTTTTTCTGATGAACTAGCTGTTGGGCTGTTTTCTTCTATGGTTGATGATCTGCAGCGGCTACTGAAGTCTCTAGAAGAGAACCCTCTTTCTCTTCGATGGTGTAGCGAGGCCATGTCTGTCATCAAGAAGACTCATTCTCATTTCCTGTTTGATTTCGAGAGATCTAAAGTTCCCGCTTCATGGGAGGCCATACATGTGCTTGATGAATATATGAGTGTAACTTTGGATCTCTTGGATTTCTGCAACTTGCTTAAGTCAGCCATTTCGGGTTTAGATAGGTATCGACAGTTGATTAACTTCATGATTAAGAGATTGAAGGATGCCACCTTTTCAATGTCGACAAGTAAGATCGAACTTGAGAGGCTTGAAAGAGAGAACTATCACAAGTTTTTCGACGTGAAGAATTTAAGAGAAATGAACCTTAACAAAGAAGTAACTAAAGTGAAGTTCAAGACAAGGACCAACATGCAAGTTTTGCAATCTATTGGGAGCACAATGTCTATTATTTCATTGTTCATCTTTTGCTCAATTCTTCATCCAATTCACGTCAAAATCGACGAGGGAATCTATACTGATTTGTGCAATTCGGATTCATCCTCGGATTGTGTCCAAAAACTCATCAATTGTCTCAATGAGAAATTTAAAAACGCGCATGATTTGAGGAGGCCAGTTTTACATGAGAATGAGGTGATTGAGGATGCGTTTGCCGAATTCAAAGGGCAGATTATTTCAACTAGGGAAGTAAGTGTTGATGAAGGGAAATTAGCAAAAAGTTTAGAGATTTTAAAGAACAAGTCTCTAGTTCTCAAGGAAGGGCTAGACTTGCTTGAGAGTGAAGTTAATGAGTTGTTTGAGAATGTTATTGAGGGAAGAAAAAGAATTATCAGCTTAATTACCAATTAATAATCACACAATTTAGAAAATTAGCACTAGATTTGCCTTAAAATAAATATGGATATAATTTCTATTTTTTTTTGTATTTTGTGTGTGGATATGATTGCCTAAGGAAGAGATGATTTCCACGCATATTAGCAAGGACTTTCATTCTCTTTTATACTTTAACCCATTTGGCTATTTTTACAGCTTGAATTCATTGTTTGTTGATTAAACTTGGTTTGGTTCATTGAAACATTAACCTTTGTGGTTAATCTCATGATGTATGCCTATCTTCAACATCAATTGTGAATACATTCGTGATTTGTTGTAAAATTCAGTTAATCCAATCTTTAGCGAATTGAATTAGGCTATTTTTTGCCTAATTAATTTATTTTTATACGACTATAACGTCTACGAACAAGAAAAAGGTTTTGTAGTGGAATAAGAAAGTCCTCTTATTCAAATAATTTGGTCTTTGACGTACTAGTATTAGCTAACACTGATTCAACGCTAAATTATACAAGTATAAAATAAAATTAAACAACGCTAAATTAGAATACTGACACAAATTTTATTTTAATTTTTGAAAGAATATTGACACAAACTTGTAATTCTTCTACACTTTGTATAAAAAATTCAATACCAATACCTTTTTTGGTTTTAGGAAAAAAAAATTAAAGAGTAAATTAAACAAACAATCGCCAAAAAAACAAAATTTTGACTTTTCCATTTACATCTAACCATGCCCAAATTATTTCCCTGCTAATATATGGTCTTGTCATCTCTTATACTCCGTATTTTTATTACTTTTTTCATCAATAATGTTTAAATTATTGCAAAACCACAACATCAACACGTGGTCTTTATTTTTTTTATTTTTTTTTGGGAACATGAAGTTCATACCAACGTAAAGACTAAAAGTAAAGGTGGAAGAAATTGTTCCTTGATAAAATTGTGAAGTTTGTTTGCTTAAATTTCCCTGGTATTATTACCCCACATCAATTGACAGTTAAGGTACAACTCATGCTCCTGCTTTTACGACCCCACTTGACAAATATGGGTAGAGCCTAGAGATGCAAATTAAGGTAACAAAAATCCAAAGCAAAAAAAGTTGTTCCAATAATCTTCTGAATAGTGAGTGAATATATACGAACCAACATCAATGTATTAATCTAAAAATGTTTTCCAAAAGCTAGAATACACTGTAAATGACCAATCAAAAAATTTTCCCCAGGTCGTATCGTCCCTAAAAATACATATGACACCAGTAGTTTTCTCAAAATCAATATTAGAGTTACAGGAGTATTGGATGATGGCTCGTCTAGCCATCAAACATAGAATGAATTGGAATAAAATTAATACAAATGAGGAACTACAAAATGAACGATTCCTTCCATAGCTGTTAACCTGAAGTGTTTAGCTGCCCTGCCACTTTGGTCCAGCAGAACCCATTGTTATCAAGCAAAATTATGTCCTCATTGAAAAAATCCAGTATAGTGTATTGTACCGGCATCCACGACCTAATATGAAACTCGTGGGGAGCGATTATATTTTCCAAGAATGGCAAGGCACGTCCAAGCATAACGTACAGAAGAAAGTGGAAACTCACACTATGTGAACACTGCTTCCCTTCGCCTACTCCGTAGCATCCCGTGACGTACTATGCTTTTCATCGGACCTGTGGTGGAACAACTTTGCTATCTGTCTCCTCTCACAATCCTGTAAATCCCAAGCAATGAGATGTTAATACTTCAATTATGTACAAAATCCTAATATTGGCTCTATTATTGCTTTATTTTGCTGGCACAGAGCTTTCAAACAAATATTGCTCACCTTGAACATGTGGAGATAAAATGTTTTGCTAGGATTTTTCTTTTTCAACTTCTGGTATGTATACGCAAAGCTTAACTGATCTCTTGGAGTAAAACGGTCCACCTCATTAAACCATAGACATGAAAATAGATTTGACATTGGTGTGTGTGCCCTTACTATCAAAGACCCTTCTGGTACATCTGTTGCCAAAAGAAATAAATCATTAAGGACAACAGATTAGATCCCAATCCGAATTTATCCTGGACCAACCCAGACAAAAATCGTACTTTTCCCACCAAAGATGAATGAGAAACAAAAAGGTGCATATGAACATACTGCTTGGAAGCATCTTTTCAGGATCAGAGGCATTAAATCTCTTAAGCCCGTCAGCCTGATAAAATTGAAATTGCTGATCAATCATAGTGTGGTTGAATTTATTAAGCTTCTTGTTCCGCTCCACTTCTTCCCAAACACAATGACGATCATAGTGATTTGATATTGCGTATTCATGACCCTTTCGCCACAAGAAGTGCTCCAATAACAACAGAGGGTCGCGTTGGAGACGCAATTTGCTATCCAACCAAATGGAATACCTGGCAAGTGACAGACGCTCAGAGACTGGCATTGAACTTATACCAAGTACATATCTAGCTATCAACCTACACAGTAATTCGAGTAGCAATTCCGTGGACATTTTCTTGCAGGAAAGAGCAATTTATTTTATCCAAAGCTTCAGTAACATTTCACATCAGGCAGTCAGTACAACACATTCAGTAATCTAAGCCTCAAATTCTTAGGATACCCTTTTTAGCTCCCTCACTATATCATTGTTGCAACTTGCAACACAAACCACTAAAACAGGTGCAAACCCTATATACAGTATACAGTTTAACAGCACAAATCATTGGGATGATACTACGAAGTTATCAAAAAAGAAACAGAAAGATGCCAATCATTTAAGCCAATCTCTGAATTCTACTTTCAGCAAGTACTTGTAAAGCTGTTTATCTACACAGATCCATTTTATCTTGTTCCTGGCTAAATCTTTTTAAAAGTTTTAAGCACAAAAATTTCAGAGTTTCCTAGTAGAAAGCACAATTATCTGAGGTAAGAATTGCAGCAGAGTTCAGATGTAACCAACAATTCCACTGCAGAGTTTGGATATAACCAACAATTCCACTGAGTTTTCAGTAGGATTACTTGCAAACTAGATATTCAAAATTATCTCCAAAGAAACCAACGTCTTGGTCCTTAGACTCCTAACATTTTTCAACATCCTTACCCCTGATTTTCTAATATAATGCCTCACCAAGTCACATAAGAGTTTAAAAAATCAATATGAGTCTCTTGTTTACTGTTTAGATGTGATTGTATCTTGCATGTGGAAGATCCAAACGCTAATGACACTTGAGCGCGCTAAAACCCTTCAGTCCAATGATGATTCTTGGGAAAAAATGGATAAAATGATCAATAAATTCATACTATTCAGCTTTCACCATTACAAAAAAAATATACTTCGTATAATGTTAAATGAGGAATCAGATATTAACAGCAGTTACAGACTAGATAGCAGCATATATTGCCCTTCAGACTTAAAGCAGATGAACAAGGAAAACTACAAGTAGAAAACAAGGACCCTTTAAAGCACAATATCATGAGAGAATTCTCAAACACGAAGTCTTAATTACTGTGATTTCACACAAAAAAAAATTTGTCAGATAAGAGTATCATTATCTCAACCATTTTTGGATTAAAAAAAGTCAAAAATACTATGTGATAAAAACAAAAGGTATAGCCTTCATGATGCACATTCTTACCTTGCTGAAGGAAAGAGTCGATGAGACAGAAGCTTTGGTATCTTCCCGACTCTCCTCATGTCTGTATAAGGAAGATTCTTCACCACAACAATCTTCCACAAACCAATGAATCCCATTCTGTCGGGTATATGGCCTTCTAAAGAAATGGTTTGCAAAGTCTTTTCATCCATAAACATCACAAAGCAAACATTTTTCCTAGACAAACGACTTATCTGAAATAAAAGGCAAATAATTTCAAACTGCACATCAGATTTCACACTACAATGATAGAGTAAATATCCAAAAAAAGAAAATATTAAAAAAATTCTTAAAGAAACATGGTCCAGGCGGCGGACAAATGAATCAATTTTCATGGGACAGAATGCTAATAGATCCTTTAATAGATGTCTTACCACTTTAACAAAAGGAGATCTCAGGCGATCTGAGTTTCCAAAGATGCAAGAAACAACAGCAATGTGGCATTTACTGTTGTATCTGGAATCATCCTCAGCCAAGTCAAATCCTGTACTAGAATACTCTGAAGGACCCTTAACAAAGCCACAATTAATCTTTTGATCACGTGCAAGGAATGAGTCTTCCCTTTCTCTTAAGGTCTGATGCCCAGCAAACCTAGGTTCCCAGCTATCTTCCCCGACAGGCTTCTCTTCTCTTTCTGTATACGATAGTGAAAATCTAGCAAATTTTCTACTTTCAAGAGGCTCTACAAGTTGCGCGGTAGAATTCAGCAATTTCATATCACAACTTGAAGCTACATCAATAAATATTACAAAGTTAAGCAATTTCGCAGTTGCATTATTACTTGTTAGACAGCAGCAACTGGTAGTGTAATGCGGTGTAATATTCAATTTCATGTTGATTAAAAGAAACCCTCAACAGCGATAAAAACACAAGAAAACCTAGGGTTGACTGGTAGAGTATTGCATGCCCGAGTACACCAATAATCATTTAGTCATTCTTAGGGAGAAAAGGACTTACATGAAAACTTGCGGTGTTTTCTACGTTTCTTTGGCTGCTTTCCAGAACCAGTATTTGAAGCACTGACTTGTTTGCTTTTCCCACTGTTGTTAGAACTCTGCTGTTTAGAAGAACTATCATTTGAGTCATAATCCACAATCGAATCATGACCTACAAAAACAGTTCCACCATGTTCTGAGTGAGATTTAGGCAGTTTGGAGTTCCCCACACTTTCATGCCTACTATCATCATATTCGTCTACATGAACATCATGTGAATCAATCGCATCGTCATATTCATCATCTGCGTCAGCATCTTCAGTCTCCATATCCGAACGACCCCCATCTAAAACATGATTTCCATCCTCGGATTCCACACCTTCTTGGCCAACATTCTTCAAAGAAGCTTCATATTTTTCTTCATACATTTTCAATTCGTTACGCCCTGCTTCATTGTACAAACCATGATGATCTGTGCTCTTACTTATAGGGTTATTGGACTTCTTTGTTGGACTCTTCACTCTACTGGATCCATGACCTTTCTCAGATTCATCATCACTATCTGCACTACTTTTATGTGCATCCTCATTGTAATCTTCATCCCTTCTCCGATCATCCCCATCCCAATACCTTGAATCACGGCCATGACCCACGGAGTCATGGCCAAACTTGACCATGGGAGTGGTAATTCTTGTCACATTTGTAAGAAAATCATCCCGGAAAGCATCATCTTGGGTATCTTTTGTATCTATGTCTGCAGAAAATCAAGAATGAGTTATAAAAAACTCATAAGATTTATGATTGGATTTTCTAAGAGGCCATACTTGTGTTGAGTAAAAGAATAAATGTGAGAGTGATTTATTTATTACAAGGGTGTTTGTAAGTAAATTTTCCTTTAAGCGGCTACTTCTATATCAAACAAATGCTACTAACAATTCTTCCCCAAAAGAAGTCTTCCGCCCTTAATTTTTTTTTTGGTATGCTAAATTAACAGTGTGTGTCAGCATGCGCATGCAACGATAGTAAAGTATAGTTAAAGATATCTATAGTTGTGAACTGCATATATAACAGGGACATCAGCAATATCAACCCACATAAACTGCTTGATTATGCTGAATAATGTAACAATTTTTATGAACAATAACATCTCCTGGTCAAATAGACAAAACTGCAATAAAAGTTAATGTCAATTCAAATAAATAACAAGCTCTACTACAGTTCCAATCCTAACAATGTACGGCCAACCAAAACACCTATAAACGACCAGCTATTTTTTTAAGCCCAAAATCTGATGGCAATCACCTCACACACACATATGAACACAATCCTCAACCCAAATCCGAATAAAGAACATCTTTCCCTCTATCAATTTGTCGGAAAGGAAGGACCTCAAGTTGAATCAATGGCTTGAGCTTAAATCCATGATTGTACATCAATCAATCCAAGGTAAGTTTCTACTTTTCAATGTTACTAGGTCAGCCTGCATCAACACAGCCTTATCACCCAATGTAATTCCATGATAATCGAGGCCAAAAGCCAGCATCTGCCCTATCCCTAAGTAATCAAGACCAACTGGCTAACAAGCTATGCCCCTCTACACACACCTCACATCAAAATTTTGTTTTCCTTCCTCAAGCATCAATTGCAATATCTCTAAGATCAGAGTTCCCTAATCTAAGCTCCATTTTCCTAGCTACGCTCAAGTCTCGAGCATTCGACTAAACTTAGCCGCCCAAACCTCCCTCTATCCCTAAGATCAGAATTGCAATATCTCTAAGATCGGAATTGCAATATCTCTAAGATCAGAATTCCCTAATCTAAGCTCTATCTTTCCTAGTTTCCTAGCTACTCTCGAGTCTCGATCATTCGACTACACTTACCCGCCCAAACCTCCCCCTATCCCTAACTAATCCCCCTACAATCACAACTTCCAAAATCATCAACAATCTATCCTTTCCTCACGCATCTAATAAGAACAATTACCATAAGATCAAATTCCACAACTACAAAACCACTAAATTTCTCACAGTTATCACAGCAATGCAGGATCAAATTAATAAACAATTAACACCACATCAAATCAAAGAGATCAAACAAATTACCCGAACTATGATCCCTGGATAAAAAAACGTAACCGAAAGCCGAAGCAGCAAGAACAAAACAAAGAAGAGTAATAACAGTTCCGATCGAGATCCTTCGTTTGGAATAACCTAATCTCCGATGATGATGCCGCGACTGTTTATGCGACGGCCCACGAACTCCAATACTGACGTGCTCAGAACCACCAGCACCGGCGGCGGAAGCGGCGGTGATGCTAATGCCGTTGCTAAAATGGTGGTTACTGTTGCTAGTACTCCCTGACTGCTGCCTGTACTGAGCCATTCAATAGAGTCGGAGCATTCTTCAGCGAATCAAGATGATAGTAATGAAGAATTAACATTCACCATTAATGGAGTTTTCTAGGGTTTGGAAGGATGGAGATTGAATGAATTGCAGATCGAGGAGAGAGAAAGAGTGAGAAGTGAAGGAAGAAGATGACTGCAACAATACAAGTAGAGTTGAGAAGAGAGGAGAGAGAGGTTTAGAGAGAGAAGTAAAATTAAAATTAATAATGTGGAGAAGACGATGAGTGTGAATTGTGAAAGAGGAAAGCGAAATTTCTTCGGCTTTTTTTTTTTTAATTTTTTTGATCGGCCGATCGATTTTTGTCCCCCCTCCGTCACGGTCTCTCTGCACTTCCTTCGTTTTACCCTTCCTTTTTGGTCTTACTTTATAATTACTCCGTCCGGAGTATTGTATTTTATTTCTATTTTTTTTTCGTTTTCACCCGGTTTACTCTTTAGATTAATTTGAATTTGGGCTCAATACTAGGTGGTTTCCAAATTATTATTGCGGAATATTGAATATACAGTCTTCCTTATTAAGTGCAACCCTATTCATCACAGCACCAACAGCGAATTGGTCTGTAGGTTTGACTCTCTCTCTAGACTTTTTGAAAATGACAAAATGAGAAGGGGGTAAAACCTTATTTATAGAGGGGTAAATTCAGGGGCATCCCTGTAATTTCTCCTAGAAGGTGAACAAATAAAACTGTTCACCAATACCTAAGTGACAAGTGTCACAGGCGCCACGTGGCATGCCACGTCATACCTGTGAGGGGCAAATGTTTTGGGTAAAAATACCCAGGCCACGTGGCCCAATCAAAGGGTGACACATGTCACCTTGGTTCAAAATGAACCAATCCTTAGCTGACATGTGACACTCCCAATCAGTGAGGAAAAAGACGGCCTTCAGGGCCCAATTCCCGAGAAAAGCCGCAAAACGGCGTAACCCCCCAAATCTAGGTCAGAATGACCTAGATGGGGGCACACTTACCAATGACCCTATAAGAAGAGAGATTCACCCCACTTTGGGGACACGTTCATTTATTACAAAACATTAAATCCTCTTACATTAGAGAACCTGATCTCGGAATCCAAGAAGAGCTCACTTTACCTTTTTCCGCACCTTTTTACATTCTTCGACCGGTTCTAACTTGATTGTCGGAGGCGGAACTCCTACCACCCGGAGTCTCCGTTGTCTTGCAGGTACAGGCGACCTGAATCCAGGCTTAGTGACGTAACTCTCCCGAGGGACACAGAAACTCCCGAACCAAATGTCATGCAAGTTAACATCATCTTCAATCAAAGTTGGTCGAATTGACCTCAATTCTGAAACAATGGGATATGGAGTACCCCTTTTTTTTCCATTTTCCTACCATTATAACCCATGCTTTTAACTATACACTAGGAAAATTAGTCAAACATGAGTTGGGATAACATGATAACATAAGTCAAAATTGCAGCATTATTAGTCACCTCTCCTTATTGGGCATCGAATCCATAAAACTTGCCCAAATGTAACAATATCTTAAGCATTTAATTAACTCAATCTACAACTCAAGCAAAAACATGGTGTAATTTTTTTTTCTTAATTTAAGATATAAGCCAAAGAAATTTGTTCATGACATTGGGAAGAAAAAACAAATATTTGATTAGTTTTTTTTATGCCTTAATTTGTTATTATTTAAATTAAAATGTATATATTGATGAATGATAATGGAATTAATGATACTCCTACCAAACTATAGATCTTAGAAGTTGTCTTGTTGAGGCATAGAATGTACTGTACATAGATCAACGCTGGACTTCCTTGACCATGACCCGCATGTATAGCTTATAAATTAAAACATGAATTTTTGTCAGAAATTTAATTATTACAATCATGTAGTTGTAGTAGCTAACCTAGTAGGAGTTTGGTAAATTGGTTACCAAATTTTAATACATTGCCTTATTTTAATGGCATCCCTATATCATCCTACTAACTTCATTGAGTATTTCATATAAGTGTGGATATCACTTATTTTAGTCGGTTAAAGTATATATTGAGAGATGTTCAAGACATAAGATTGAATTGCTAGTCGAAAAAAAAAAAAAAAAACATAAGATCGAATCTTATTTACATAATTGTCTTTTGTGGCTCTTTCTTGGTCATCTCACAAGAAATTTAAAAATGAAATGTATGTAATTATATAGCTTACTCAATCCATATATAACATCTGTGATCTGTTTTCAACCGATCAAGTTAAGCTAAATCAATTTGAAATCGAACCAAGTAAGAATAAATTAAAGTACCTATCTTGGATATAGGTATACATCATACTATATATAGTGAACATAGTTAAAAGTCTTGTTGGGGACAAGAATTGCAAAAGGAAACTTTAGTTTACTGTTGATTACTAATTTGGTGCATCATAATAATAAAAATAGTGGTTTCAGAAAATCAATACATGTGCAATTGTGCATTAACTAGAAGCCAAATTAAACCAATCAACTGCACCGTGAACATGTCAATAATGTGTGATGTGTCATATTGTTGCACCATCAGCATGATTAGTTTAATGTAATTATTCTCTAATTTTGCTTGCGTATTCCTTGTCACGTTAATTATAATAATTTAATTATACAATTATTAATGGTACGTTTGCTTTGTTTTATTGAGAATTCAGACAAAAATATGTTATATATCATCTTTTATTCTCTTTAATAGCGTGAAATAATACACATTGTCTTGACTTATTCTTTCTAATACACTTTTAATTTGTTTGGATGCTCTCAGAATTTTGTGTTAATTTAATAACAACTATATAATGCATGTTTTCTTGTATTTGGCAAAATATCTTGAGTTCTAAGTTAGCTTTGATGATGTTGAAGTTACGTAGGTGAAGACTTAATGTTCCAAAACAATATGTAGTGGTGTGGTAGAACAAACTCTTTCAATGCTCAAGTCAACACAATGTAATGTAAGTTAACTAATCAGAAATTAAGAAAGCAGAGATACATAGTTTGGAAACTTTTACCACTTGATTAGGGAAAGAATTGACACTTATAGTAATTATTAGTGAAGTTGTTAAAATGTGAGAATAATAACCTCCTGAATTGTATGTTATACCTATTAATATGTTAGTAATTTGAGAATACATTAATATCACGAGACGACCTACTCACTAACACAATTAGTAATTTGTCGATAAATAATGTAAGTATTTAGTTGTGAATCTAGATGTTTATAAAAGTCACTTTTAATTATTAAGTATTGGATTGTTACAAAAATTTATGTAATAGAAATATAAAACACTTTAAAGTTTAAAGCAAACATCAAACTTCATAAGTTTGTATGTTTTAACGTTCCAAACAAACTTTATGTTGGATACATAAGAATTAGTACTTATAACTTACTTCACTTACTTCTTCTGTTTATTTTTTTTAAATTGCAGCATCATCATTATTATTATTATTATTTTCCAATTTTACCCTTCGTATATATATTAATTAGTTTGACTATTTTTCATGATTAAGAAGTAACTTACTCTTGAACACACAAGAATTATTAAATCTTTTATGATGTGTCTCACACATATAAAAATATTTATATATATATATATATATCTTATAAATAATGTAAGTATTTAAGAATTATTAATTTTTAAAAATATTTAAAGTTATGAATTAATTAGATGTAAAATTTAAAAATGGTTTCCAAAATGATAGTAGTAAATGCTTTTGTGAGCCCATTGTACGTGATATGATAATTGCAAAAAGGATTGATCAAAACAGTCCAAAAGCCCAATATAATGGGCGTAAAAAACATGGGCTAAATTTGTACATTTACTCCAAACATCTTTGGCATTTCATAAAAAATAATGAGTGGACGGCTATTAAACAGCACTTAAGGACCATTACGTGTTATTGTGGGCCTTGTTTCATTTTCGCTCTCCTCTCTCGTGTTTGCGAAGAGAAACCAAAAACTGACTATACCGCTTCATTTTCAGCCCTTCATCTCTGCAATTTTCCAGGTATTTTTGTCTTCTTACCTTTATTTTTTCATCAGATTTTCTCTCTTTTTTCTGGGATTTTTACCCTTTTTCCTATGTGAGGATCTGAAATCTGGATTTTTTTTAACTCTTAATTTGCGATATTTGTAATTAATTTCAATTGCTATAATTATTGATTATCTTGCTAGTTTAGTGTCACTTTGATTTATGATTAGTGCTAAAGTTTCTAACTTTGGATTGTTAATATGATATTTTCACAATTATAAGGACATTACTGAAAGCATTATATTATTGATATGTATGATTGATATTGTAACTTGAGCTTGTAATGTCACAACTAAATACGGACGAAGTTAGTACATCATCAATTAGTTTAAAAGCATTAGAGTATAACCGTTAACTTACAAATTTGCTGCCTTTTCTGGTAGCAAATTATGTGAATTTATCAAGGTGGATCCAAGTTTGGTGGTTTAATCATAATGCGCTTCTTTATTGATTTGGAAAGATTATGGATCAAATCAAAGTAGTATGCCCCTTTGCATCTTCATATCTAACTGCTGACAATTTTAAAGATGTGTATTATGTTGAGAAATCGAATTTGTCGGGTGATGCCCTTTGCAATTGTTGGTTCCCTTTTGCTTTCTTCTTTATATAGAGTTTGTTTAGGAATTTGTAAAGTTGTAAGTAACGATTCTATGTGAATATGAAGCTGTTAAGGACCTTATTGAGCTGTTTGTTACTGTCTTGTGTCTGACTTTGCTAGTATTCTTTGATTTTTAACATGGCTCGATTCAAATACTTTCTAGTGCAGGGATGCTGCTGGCGAATTCTCTGCCTTCACCAGCTTTGGCGTTATATCGTGGATCATCCATACAATTGTCTTCTGTAAGTTCACCTCTACACCTTGTTTGCCAAAATGTTATGGTGCATCTGGTTTTTTTTTACTGTCCATAGTATATAAATTTGGATTCCCATCAATTCAACTCTTATGGAGAGGGAATGTAAGCGTAAGCTCATTTGCCCTTGCTTACCTAGACTGATCTTGTCTGTTAACTCTTCTGCCTGATTTGCAAAATGTTATCAAAACGAATAAATATCAAATATTCAGAACAAGTTAAACTCTCATTGAAAAATAATTGTGTTAAGATTTTGCTGATAACTTGATAAGAAAAAGAAATGAATTGGTCTTTCCCTGAAAATAGTCCCTTCCAAAATCATGCTTTAGTCTTTGCGTCTAATTCACCTTGTCTTGCTTCAGCCTAATTTTGTGACGCCTGCTTCCTTAAGCTCAACAGTATATGGAACCTCAAGGAGCTTTTTACCCCAAGAACTAACCCGGAAGCCTAGGTTTAATGTCCTAACATACAAGAGATGGGAAATACATTCTGCAGCTCCAACAATAGATATAACCTTGAGCAATGAAGACACCGAGAAATGGGCATCTTGTAGAGAAGCTCTATCTATGTTCAACTTCAGTATTGAAGAGCAGGACAAGATGCTAGGGAAAGCATTTGGTCATATCCATTCACCCTACTGGGGTGAAGAACGGAAAGTAGAAATTCCAGATTACGAATTAGTGAATGAAATACTGGAGTATCTCAGAAGTTTGAGCCTCTCTGATGATGATCTTTCTAAGCTTCTGAAAAAATTCCCTGAAGTTCTTGGTTGCAACCTTGAGACTGAGCTGAAGAATAATGTACAGATCCTAGAAAACCAGTGGGGCATAACAGGGAAGCCTTTGCGAAATCTTCTTCTTCGTAACCCTAAAGCTCTTGGTTATAATGTTGACTGTAAAGGAGATTGTATTGCTCAATGCACTCGTTGCTGGGCTAGATTTTAGATGAACTCATTTTTTGTACCAATTTATTCAATACTAAGTATATGTACACAGTATGTCCTGCATTTATCTGTATTTTTTGGTTATAGAAGGTGCTTACTTGCTTATACGAGCACATATTTACATATCAGCAAAATAAGGGGGGCTACTTGGTGCTATCCAACCTCATCACATTGACCCTCGAGCTAGTACATAATAATACAGAGACTACAGAGTACTCATAATCGATTTTCACTCACATTAATGAGAATTACAGCTGATTTTAATGACTAAATATGGCTCCGTTCTTGAACCAGTTTAGATATAATGGTCACTAGGTCAGTCATGAATATCGAAGTATTGTCAATGATATTTTATTTTGATTTTCATATCGATAATACATAATAAATGAAAAGATCACATCCTAAAAGTAGAGTCAAAATAATTAAACAGCAACAAAATCAATTTATAACCTCAAAATCAGAAATGAAAGAAGTAATTAGAGAATAATAATCATCCCTAAAAAAGAGGACAAAGATATAAAAGAATAGCCTCCAAAATTAAGATTCCAACCATTATTTACCTTATAATGAAGGGATTTTTTGACCCTCTTCGCTGGCAAAAATTAGCATTAACATCCCTTATACCCCTTCTCTCAAATTTAGAAGAGCCTTATCTATTACATAAACGTCTCTATTTCTTAATTTTTGGCTCTTCTCAAAGGATTACAACGTATTGTAATTCATCACAAATATGCTAAGCTTCAATAGAATCCTTCTCCTTGTCATTGCCATATTTTGCCTTGTACTCTCGCATGAGGTACGTACGTTCTTTATTTTCTAATGTAATGTAATCTTTTCGCCTTGTCATTGCCATTTTTTCTCCTCAATTTACACAAATTATATTCCATGCACACACGGGTTAATTAGATGATTATATTAACATTAATATATATATAAATAAATAATACTCCTTACTATTAAAAAATATGTTGATGATGTATTGGTGTTCAAAAATTATGAGAACTACGAGGTATTGGAATATTAGTCAATTAGATTGTGAACAATTGTTGAAAATATAGATTCATATACCTCTACTTATTATGTCCCTGGGAAAAGAATGGAAATATTTTCTTAATTTTTAGTAGTCACTTTTAACCTTCATTATCATTCAATTTCTCCAAACTAAATTATTTTTTTTCTTCTAATTTAATTTGTTACTATAGTGGGAAGTCTGCAATGCAAAGCTTCACAACCACCACCACCACCAACGTCGTCATCATCTCCATCGTCGCATCTTTTTGGGTGCAAAAATAGGTAAGAAAAAAATTCAAAAAATAAAGAGGATCCCTATAGATACCGAATGAAGTGTAATTGGGAGTAATCAACTATGTTATGCTTAATCAACTATTAAAATCAAGAATTAAATAGACTTTAGCTGATATATAAATCAAACTTTTAACCTTAATAAATATGATTATTGACTAGAAGGTGCGAGCTCAACCATTGAAATTTTAACACTGAGTCTTAATGTATATTCGTACGTACGTATCACTTTTTACGATGAGGTGATGTTGACTCTATCTACAATGACATGACAGATTGCAAGGAAAGGTGTCATAGAAGGTGCAGTGTGGCATCAAGATACAGAGTATGCTTAAGAGCATGTAACACTTGCTGCCAACGTTGCAATTGCGTGCCACCAGGAACTTCTGGCAACGCTAACTCTTGTCTTTGTTGGGCTAACATGACCACCAAAGGAGGCCGCAAGAAGTGCCCTTGAACCTTCAAAGGACTTTGCTTGTAACATTAACTCAGCACAATATAATGCATTCAATTATTTTGAGCTTCACACTTCATATTTTTGTGGTAGATTTGTGTTGTATGTTGCATACAAAAACATTGGGAGACGATGAGCTGAGAATTAGGGGTTATATTATTTCTACACTTATTCTCCACTTTTATTTTATTGCTTGCCCCCCCCCCCCCCCAAAAAAAAAATAAAAAAATTGTAATGATGTTGATGTGGTGTTATTTTTTGGAAATCAATCAATGTGGTTTAATTTTTCTTGGGTGTTTATACCATTATTATTTCAAATTTCAATATAAAAGATTGATATATATATGTAAAACATAACCAAGGACAAACTAATACACAATTCAGTTCAGTAGATATAATAACTATATCGATCCAACTCATTATTTCCAACACCCAAAAGATAATAATAGACTGATAGTACAATACATTATTGATTCTTTAATTAGCCTCGTTGGCTCAATGGCTAAATTAAAGATGACACTAAATCATATAGTAATCGATATGATTTATGCAGTATTAAGTAAATTTAAGGGCATTTAGGCCTGTTGCCATGGGTCCTGAGGCGGGCGTAGCAAGGGCAAAGGTGGTGGTTGCCATAAGTGCCAGGAGGAACACATTTGCACTGAAAACAGCAACTGTTGCATGCCCTATTGCACAAATTCTTCCTTGATGACCTTGTGCATCTCATCGCACAAGCATGATTGCAATCTGCGTAGTTTCCATCCAAATTTTAGTGATTTATTAGTAAGAGACAATTCCAAACATTTTCAATTGACCACTATAAAATTTCCAGACTTATCAATAAGAGGCAATTCCAAATATTTTTCATGTTGGCTTATTACAAACCCAATTGGTAACATAAATGGTGTGGTGAGTGGTGACAATAACTCCTACTTTATTGATTGATAACGTTTCATAAACTTTACGTTCTTATAATTAACAAGATCGAACACATAGTTGTTATACATATTAAGAGCACATGCACCATATTAAATTTGCTTTAATATATAGCTAGTTTGATAGGCGGTAATGAATCATGATAATGAGAATAAATTTGGATGTATGTAGCTTTCGAAAGGAAAGTAATAACATGATAATGACCGTGGTAATGTCATCTCATTCCAAACTTATACAAGTATTTTTCTTCATTACTTTTCAAATCCACACAATACCGCTCCTCATGTGGTAATCCGTAATAATTAAAGATTTATCAAAGAAATAGATACTTGAGGTAAATTAGCATTACCATATCATTATGACTTTTCTTACATACTTGTAGTGCTTATTATTACAATACATATTCGTTTTCATTATTAATTTTGTTTATTAAAGCCAACTAAAGTGCACACATAAGACTTACTCATATTTCTCACAAAATATTTCTTCTGAAATCCTGCATTAATTTTATCCTGAATGTAATAAAGATAATTCCAAGGTCAACAAAAGTGACTAATTAATTAAATACAAGAGGCAATTAAACTAAGAAAATATAATAAGCTAACCTGGGTGAGGGAATTTCCTGTATTGTTGGTTGCAGATAAGGCCTCACTGAAGTTCTATTACGATTAATTAATTATGAGGAAATTGGTTAGCATTATGCCATAATTAAGTACAAGATCAAATATAAAATAACTATTGTAAGATTTGTAACATATGTCTAATCTAATGCAATAAAATAATGAATATTATTCAGAGGTACAAAAGTTATAATTTATACCTGTAGGATGAAGACGGAGAAGATTAAAAAACCAAGAAGCTTCATTATTATTTATTTTATGGTCGTAAAAATAAAGGAATAAAATAATGATAAAGGTATAGAGTAGTAGCTAAGAACAAGGAGGTTAAGGTATTATATATAGACCTTGAGCCTCATAAACAATGATTTTTTATAACGTTTTATTTTATAAATATTATTTTTGTTATTATGCTTGGAAGAAATAACAAGGTCGTGACACATAAATAAGTAATGATATTTGCACAAGATAACAAATTAAACCTCAATGGACTCGTTACTCCCTGTGGAAACTTCTGTTACACACTTATGTGTTGTTCCTAGACGATCTCACCAGGCTGCGCATGCGTGTCATTTCTCCGCATAAAGTTAATTACATCCTGATTTCATAAAATTACAAAATACGATTAATTTAATATTACCCGTATTGTGGATTAGCACGGATACACTCTAATTTAAAATTTAATTATAGTACATTATTTATATACTCGTAGATACTTTGATTACATAATGGTTTTATTTATGTACAAGTAATTAATACAAAAATCACTGATTGTTCATTCGTTTACATGTTAATTGTTGTTGGATTGGTTTGAAGCTAAGGTTTGCTTTTAATATCAAGTTATGAATTTAGTAGAATAAAGACTTAGCTTGTTCATTCGTCTGTGTTTTTTTAGGTATATTATCTTAGGTTTAATGATCGATATAAGTACATTATAAGTCACACTAATTATGGTTGATTTCCAACTTAATTATGGTTTGATAATTGGTATAAATTGAGAAGGCAAACATGTATCACCAAGTGTCTACAAAAGTACAAAACTATGTCTTCATGCATGTATTCCCCTCAAATAAATGAAATTAAGAAAATAATTTGCAAGAACGTAACAATGAACAGATAAACCCTGTTTTTGTCCTTGAAGAGAAGATTTTATTTACTACGTACCATGCATTTTGGCAGCTTGGTTACGTTGGCATCCATAGGTGCAGCCTCTACGACATATGTCCGTTCGTTGCACCAATATGGTCCATTAATTATTCTACTCTCTTCATAAGAATCATACTCACCACAAATTTATACGTGTATTCAATTATTGTCAAACTTGTATACAACGTAAACTGAGTAACATAAAAGTAAATTTCAATTTGTGAAGAAATGAATGATTTAGTTTTATGTGACTTGCTATGATGTTTGTGACTAATTTGTTAAAGGAAATTGATGCGAATGAATTATTTGTTTAAATTAAGTACGTACTTATTATAAAGACGGGGATGAAGCTAAAAGTGAATTGGAAGGCTAGGTAAGTTGAATTGGAAGTCTAGAGCTATGTAACTATTCCCACCATTTCCAAATAATTTGATACAATTAAAACTGAGTTTGGTGATTTCATATAAATTAAATAGGGTGGATATTTTAGTGAATCCGTTTCAACCAATGCTTTTATACAGAATACTTCGTATTTGAATTCAATAAATCAATTACTCTATGTAAAAAGTGGTTTCTTGAATATATAAAAGGAAAATGATAATCATAACTCTAAGGATTATATATAAGAAGTTAAAAAGGAAATAGTAATGAAAATTAACATTAATTACACCGATCGACACATAATTTTGTCATAAATTCCTAACTTAATTCTATTTTAGAAAGTATATTTTATGTTTATACTACGTATATAACCCTAAGGATTACGTATATCATTTACCCAACTAAAAAAAAAAAAAAAGAGAAATGCACGAAAGAGCAAATGGGCGCGATGATTTGAGTGACACTCACACACAACGCATTTTGTAATTTGTAAATTTAAATTTCAAATAAAATGAGAATTTCAATTTCCAACCCGAAATATAAAAGGCCCCACCAAAGTCCCCATCCAATCCCTACTACGGACTATAAACCTTCTCTTCCGCCCCCTCTTTCTTCTCTTTCTCCTTCTCTTTCCTTCGATCTCCATTTTTCTCTCTCCATTTTCTCACTCTTATTTATACTCACTCTTCATCACTTCTTTCTCTATTTCTTCTTCACTTCGTTTTTTTCTGGGTTGATTCTTTGATCTCCATTTTTCAGGTATGCTTTTTTTTCTTCTTCTTTCTCTGATTTTTTTTTTCCAGAATTTGAATTCTGTATTTTGATGATAAAGTTACCATTTTCTCGATTCATGGGAATTTATTGTGAATTTGCTAATTGTTACTGGGGCTTATTTCATTTGCTTGTTGATATGGTTAGGGTAAATTATCTAACCCTAATTATTTGAATTGCTATGGTAAAAGTTAATCCCTTTTTTCTTGGGTTTAGATTCGCCTGTTCTAATTGTTGTTTTTTTGATTAATTTATGAAGAAATTGTATAGCGTTTACTGATTTGTTGAAATGTTAGGTTAATTGTAAGTAAATGAGCACCAAATTAATTTTATTACTATGGAATCAGTGTTAATGTTTAATTGATATGATTTAAAGTCGAAGAATTTCCTTGGATCCTAGATAAAGTATTAATTTTGATCTATTTGGGTTTGAATAAGGTTTGTTCCTTTACCAATTTTTGTGTGTGTATTTTTTTTTTTTAAATTTTAATTATTTAACTTTAAAGTGTAAACTAATGTTAGTTGAATCGATATTAAATAATGTCGATCATGACTTGCAATTGTGATACAAGTATGTGTTTACAACTTCTTACCATAAGCGGATTAGCTGCATATCTTTTGAGAGGAAATGTTAGAATGTGAGTTGTTTTAGGACTCGAACAAGTTTATTATGAACGAATTGGTTGTTAGGGAAGGGCGGGAGGCCCCTTACAATTAAAATAAGTATAGGGTCTCTTAATTATTATATATAACCCTTGGATGTAGCAGTGAAGCGTTACTGTTGTATCCGAAGTACTGTTATATCCGAAGTTGAATTGTAAGGAGAAGAATGTTTTAAGAGGAGTTGGTCAAGTGATACTTGCTAGGTTTTGCCTATTAAATGAGAGGAGGGAGTTTGAAGTGAGGTGGGGTAATGGAAAGGTTTTTAAGAGAGGCAGAAGTTGGTTAGTTTATATTGGATTGTCTATTAAAGGTTTTAATGAGATGAAGGAATTTATATGATTAACAATTGATCAGACGTTCTCCATAAATTTTAGAAACTACTCGTGATAGACTAATACAAAGCAGCCTATATCTTTAGTATGCAGTGTATGTGGGTTTGTTACAGTATAAGTTTGTTATACTAAGGAAGGAACATCCATCTTGTTTTGACATGAGAAGTTTATGTCAACAAGGCTGCCACATTTTTACTATACTGATTGAGTGATTGCTGAGAAGCCTATAAGTTGTTTTTCATGAAAAATGTTCTTTTGCTGGTTGAAATGAGGTTACTTGAGTTCTCTTTAATCATGTGGATAATTGATTTTGCATTTTCTTCCTTGTCATGTGTGTTGCGGTTTTTGATGTTTTTTAAATGAATAGGTTACATAATGGAAGCTATGCAAACAAATTCTGAGCGTCGTCCATTCTCGATCAAATTGTGGCCTCCTAGCCAGAACACAAGAATTATGCTTGTTGAACGGATGACCAGCAATCTTTCAACTCCAACAATTTTTACCCAGAAGTATGGTAGTTTGACCAAGGAAGAAGCTGAGGAGAATGCTAAGCAAATTGAAGAGGTTGCATTTACTGCTGCAAATCAATTCTATGAAAAGGAGCCCGATGGTGATGGAAGCTCTGCAGTCCAGCTTTATGCCAAGGAATGTAGTAAACTTATACTGGAAGCCTTAAAACATGGTCCTGTAACTAAATCTAGAGAGGTACCGACTTCTGATGGAGTCCTTGAAAGTTTATTTGATATATCAAAAGGCCCACGTGCCTTTATTGAGGCTGAAGAGGCAGAAGAGCTTTTGGCACCATTAAAGAATCCATCAAACACTTACACTAAGATATGCTTCAGTAACAGAAGTTTTGGTTTAGGTGCAGCTCGTGTAGCAGAGCCTATTTTGTCATCTGTTAAGGATAAATTAAAGGAGGTAGATCTGTCAGATTTTATTGCTGGCAGACCAGAGGCTGAAGCCATTGAAGTCATGAACATATTCTCAGCTGCCCTTGAAGGCGCTGCTTTGAAGTCTCTTAATCTTTCTAATAATGCCTTGGGTGAGAAGGGTGTTCGAGCATTTGGAGTGCTCTTGAAATCGCAGAGTAGCTTGGAGGAGCTTTATTTAATGAATGATGGCATCTCAGAGGATGCAGCACGTGCTGTTGCTGAGTTGGTTCCCTCCACAGAGAAGCTCAAAATTCTTCAGTTTCACAATAACATGACAGGAGATGAAGGTGCTCTTGCCATTTCTGAGGTTGTAAAGCGTTCTCCCTTGCTGGAGGACTTTAGGTGTTCCTCAACAAGGGTAGGTTCTGATGGAGGGGTTGCTTTATCCGAAGCCCTAGAGGGATGTGCTCATTTAAAGAAGCTTGACTTGCGTGACAACATGTTTGGTGTAGAAGCAGGTGTTGCTCTGAGTAAAGCTCTTGTGAAGCATGAAAATATAGTTGAAGTTTACCTGAGTTACTTAAATTTGGAAGATGAGGGGACTATTGCCGTAGCAAACGCGCTCAAGAAGAGTGCTCCTTTGCTTGAAGTGTTGGAGCTGGCCGGAAATGATGTTACTCCTGCTGCAGCATCTGCTCTGGCTGAATGCTTAGAATCAAAGCAGCACCTTGTGAAGTTGAACTTGGGTGAAAATGAGCTCAAAGATGAAGGAGCTATACAAATTAGCAATTCTCTTGAAGGCCTTACTCAGTTAAAGGAACTTGATATGAATACAAATGCGATCAGAAGAGCAGGTGCTAGAGTTTTGGCTAAGGTAGTTGTGGATAAGCCTGGTTTTCAATTGCTGAACATTGATGGGAATTATATCTCTGATGAAGGAATTGATGAAATCAATGACATTTTCAAGAAGTCTCCCAAGATGTTAGGATCATTAGAAGAGAATGATCCAGAAGGTGGAGATGAAGATGAAAAGGAATCTGATGAGGAGGGTGATGGTCATGGAGAGGAGAATGAACTGGAATCTAAAATGAAGAATCTCGATGTTGAAGATGACAAGGAATAGGTGTATTTCTGGTAGGTGGAAATACGTAGGATAGTAGCTTATTTTTAGTGTCGAATCCACTGTCGACCTGTTTTCCTCTTTTATCTTGGACATCGCATTGGATTGACAGCTACTTAGAGCATTTGGTAGCGATGGCTTTCATGGGAGCGACTTGTAGGTTTAGATTTATAGTTTCTCCTGTTGAACTCCCATCCCCCACTTTTGTGTTTTATTTTACTATTTTTGTGTGGGTAGAAATGTTTTATTGTACTACTGAGCCGTTGTGTTAAGTAGGATTCTGTTTCGAACAGCTATTGAACTTGTTTTATCGTGTTGTAAAGGAGGGAATGTCATTTTTCGTGATATTCACTTCCAGTTTTTAACTTTCAAGAGCACGTCCTATGTTTTAGACAATCTAATAATCTTACTTAAAGATTATCTGCCTGGTAAATGTGTTAAAAATTCTATCCATTTATGCTTGTTGTGGTTGTTCCCCTCCTTTCAAGTTCGTAGGCATTCTACATTTGCTTGAACACATTGAAGTTAGGATTAGGGTTATACAAGCTGGATCTATTCTAAAATTGATGATTAAATTATTTGATACTATAATTTTTTTTTTTGAAAACTGATACTCTGTATATTGAACAGTTTCTTAATTTTCAATTAAATTTTGGTACATTTTTTTAACTAATTTTGTATAATGAACATAGATTTTTTATGTATGGAACATAATTTTTACAAAAAATAAGGAAATTTGACTCGGAATTGAAACTTGTTAAGAACGGCATTTTACAATCGGAATTTAAATAAAAGATTCCGGTAGTAAAATTGAGAACCGTTGCTACATGTTTTGGTTCATGTTCTCAATTTTTTAGAATCTACTATTATTGAACTTTGAACCTCAACATTACAATTCACAACCAAGATTCTATTATTATGACTCTATGTTTGTGTTTAGATTTTCAAGTACTCATAATTTATTTAGTTTCCTAAATAATGTATTTCGTGTTATTAAGTACTTATACATGGATAGTAATCTTTGATCGCATATGTTTTAAATACTCTCTTCGCTTCATTTTAATTTTTCCACTTTTGTTTAAGTTGTTTTATAAAATTCTTCTCACTTTAACTTCATTTAATTTTTTGTCAACCAAAAAAAAAAAAAAAGTATATTAAAGTATTATTTTACTTCAATTTGGCTGGCTTACTATATTTTTTTTGACGGGTTTTGACTTACTATATGATTAGTTTTCTTATTATATCTCTCTTCAAAAACTAATCATTGCATCAATTTGTGTAACTTTATTAAGTTTCCTTGTAATATGTATACACAACAAATCTAAATGACATAAAACGAATGAGGTATATATTTAAAAGAAATATTATTCAATGTTTTCATGTATTGTAACTAATTTCTCACAATGTAATTATGTAAAAGAAATAGTAATTCAAAATTCATCACCCTTTATTTAATTACTTCTTAAACATACATTTGGTTTCAAATTGAACCAAGTAGCTATAGAGTACTTTTATTTTAATATTACACCGATATATTACAAAATAAAAATATTTGTTCTCAACAGTGGAGTATACATTGCAAGTTTGCAACAACTTCTTTTACATGGAGTCCATCAAGGCCATCAACAACGTAAAAATATTGGGATTTGGGATTGAGAGTTTTTTTTAGTTTACTAGTAATAACTTTACCACTAAATAATATCAATCAACAAGACCAACTTAAAAGTCCAAGAAAAAGAGAAGATTGGGAGAAAGCAGAAATGTGACAATTCGGGCTGGTTAATATTAGACTTGGCAACCTGATCCAGATCCGATGATCCGATCCGAATGACTCAATTCATGACTCGAAATTGACCCAAAAATAACCCGAAATTCGAAATTGACCCAATCCGACCCATATCCTATCCAAAAATGGAGTTGACCCGATCCTGACCCAACACCCAACCTGACCCGACCTGAAGTTGACCCGCCCCGAAATTGACCCAAAGTGTTTGACCCGAACAGACCCGATACCCAAAATTGACCTGAACAAACCCGATACCTTAAATGTCCCGAACTAAAATTACCTTATAATTGAACTTAAAATGTCTTGTACCAAAAGTAACTCAAATTGTTTATCTTCAACCGTAGCTAAGCTCATAAACTGAATTGATAGTTTTTATTATAACCATAACAAAATATATACTCCGTATAAAATTATTCATTTGAACTTGATTTACAAATGAAACAACCCGAACATGACCCGACCAGATTTTGACTTGACCCAAATATGACCTGAACATACTTGACCCGAAACTCGAATCGACCCGACTCATACCCGACCCGTGTATTAGCTGACCCGATTCACCCGAATGACCCGACCTAAAAGTGACCCGACCCGAATGAACTATTTGCCAGCTCTAGTCAATATGCCCTTCAAACATTAAGGGTCCCCTAGATTCTCTGGGGCTCCCATCATTGGCTGGTTTTGGTATTATTCTCTGTATATAATTGGAATTTTGGTGTTCAAAAAATACAACAAAAAAAAGGGGTGAATATTTCTATCCTTTACGAATAAGATCATCTACATGAGGTCCATATAAAAGAGTGGGGCTATATTTATTTGGTGAGGGAAGAAATAGTGTTGGTTACTTTGGGAATAATATCCGAATTAATCTATTTGTTGTCAAAATTAGGAGTCATTTGAAATTTAGAGGATATATACAGTTGAGATAGGTAAACCTTGTAACTTAAGCTTTGACATAGTTTGAGCGAAGAAAATCTATTCTATTAACTATTACTAAAACAGAAAATTGTTGACATCATCCTCTCCTCAAACTGTATACGTGTCGCTTTCTCATAAAAAAATTCCCGCCTAATGCCCTTATGATGTCATATATATTTTTGGTTTTTTTTAATAGAAATTGGTTATTTTTAATTATTTATATTTCAATATTTGACTGTGTCAATAAATAAATAAATAATTTTTTTTGGTTGGAATAAATAAAATTGATATTGAGCTAAAACATTTTAGGTAACTACGACATTTTTAATTTTTTTTTTCTTTTAAAGGTTTTACTGTTATTTGTGTGTGTAAACTAAGGATTGTGCAAGCAACCTACCTATGAAGTCATGTAATAATAATATGGATGTTTGTTATACAAAAATGAACTAATGTTGTCATTAAATGTTACCATTGTTTCGCAGTATTTCCAAGGTGCTTCATTTTTTTTTATTACATCGCTTCAATTTATTTAAGTTACATGTATTTTTAATTTGTATTTCGAACTCTTAGATTTATAAATTCGTATGCATATGGTTTGATTAAATCAGATTGGATTTCATTTTTATATTTTGTTACTTAGTAATTTATGATGAAAGATATGTTTTTATGATCTAATTATAAGTATGTACGGGAAATAATAAATAGAAACAATTTATTTCATTTTAATAATTTTTTTCAATCTGTGCATCACACGGGTCTAATCTAGTTACCTTGTAACTTAAGATTGTGCCAATATCTTTGATACTTCCTCTGTTTTTTTTTTACTTGACCCGGTTTGACTATTACACTATTCACAACCCCTCCTTTGACCATCTTTATGAATAATATGTAAGGAAAAACATATTCATGTAGGATCTTTTCGAATTCGTCTCAAAAAGCATTATCATAATATAAACTTTTATAATTTTAATTTATTAAGAATTAAATTTATTGATCGTTAAAGTTTTGTATTGGCAAGCGTGATAAAAAAAAAACAGGTCGAGTAAAAAAGAATAGAGGAAGTATTTCTTAACATTTTGAAAATTTTAAAACATCTACGAAAGTTGAATAACAAAAATTAGATAGCTTTTCAACGGTTATAGAAAGATCCAACAAGGTAGTTGATACACTCTAACTATACATATGCGTGCATTCTCTATAGCCTATACTCTATACCAAATGCACTTGGACTTATACTAAAAAATACAGGGGCTTTTAAATGATAGGGAATGAAGTATCTGCGTATTGGTACGAAGTAGAAATGACGTGAAAATAAAAGGCCTTGGTTGAAGGAAGGGAAGTTGAGAAGCAGTAAATAGTTTAAAATTGAACATTTAGTACAAAATGAACAAATTATAATGATTTTAATTAGTACCTAAAGAGGATAGGTACTAATTCTGGATCAATGAGATTATTACAGTGAGCTTACTTTAATAATTTACTTAAGGTTGTTAAATTCAATTCTCGAATTTCAATTGCTAGAATTTAATTCCAAGTCCTATGTTTGGGAAAGTTAAGAATTTACAATTTTGAATTTCAAATTCTAAAAATTGTTTGGCAAGACAAGGAATTTCAAATGCTGAATATCAAATTCTAATAGCTGTTTGGAAATACAAGGAATTTCAAATCCTGAATTTCAAACCAAGGTACATTTTGCTAACAAACTCTAAACAAAAAGACAACCTATCAACATCTAGCTAGTAGTTTTAGTTCACAAACATCTAAATAAAGATGCTAATCATTAATACATAATAAACCAATCTAATTTTTCCCCTTCCGGTAGATTTTTTTAACATTTCGAACTCATCAACCGTCCCATTCATGAACCTTTTCACAGCTTTTAGGACTTGGTGACGTGAGATCCCAAGTACACTCGAGACTACCTCGTAGATCTCTTGTGAACTTGGTTTCGGTGGCCCTTACGCTCTGCTCACATACTCCTTGAACGACTCTGCAAAACAACTCAATGCATATGCTAGATGATCTCTCTTGAACCTCTTGTTTGATCCTCCAGAAGAAGCCTCGGAGGTACTAACCCCTTCAATTTCGGTGTCCATTGCAGTAGCAGCCTCATCATGATGCTGAGCTCTGTCACCAGTTGCTCTATCCGAAGCAAACAAAGTACAAATATCGTCCCAATTCTCAATGAATTTGTTCTGATATGCAGTGGCTTGGGGAGTTTCCTACATTACTAATAATCAAAATCAATGTAAGGCAAACTATAAGCAAAAAATGAAAGATCCAGACATAATGAATATAGGTTAGAGTTTCTTGTGACGTTGAAGTTCTGTATTTTGAACAGCAACTCTGTATTATGTGTAATCAGCTGCATTGCCTAATCAGTCTAACATAATTGGGACTCAATTTATTACAATAGGTAGGAAGCAGCCCCACAATAGCAAAGCAAGTGTGTTTATACAACAAGAGTAATAAGTTAATAGAACAGAATGACAAATGTCATACAAATTATAGCGTTTAGTACAATAAAAATGAACATTTAGTACATAGAACTGAACATATTTTAATGATTTAATTTATCTTTATTTTCCGTTAATAATTATATACAATGATTTATTTTAATGATTGTATGTAATTATTAATGATTTTAATGATTTATTTTATCTTTATTTTCCATTAATAATTACATACAATGAATTTGAATTTATATGAATATAAGAAAATCATGTTCGTTTTTAATACACTAAATGTTCA